CTATTCTTGCAGCAGAGGCCAGACCTGCCCTGGGTGCATGTGAGACAGAGAGACATGTTAGCTGCTCGTTCATTGAGTTCTGGTGCCTCGCAGTACTGACCTTGCAGGGACCTAGCCTATCTCATAGGTGAAACCACTTTTCTCACAGCAAAGGGGGCTCACAATATGTGTGCTCCTCCAGCCTGCTGGATGTCCTCAGTGGATTGCCTCCAGCTCTGGAAGGGGAGATTTTCAGGGGGTGAAGAGTATTAAATTTTCCAGTCTTGCACTCTAGTATGTGTTTTCATCGGTATTCCTATCAACTTACTTGTCAGGTAGTTCTCTTGAATGGGAATAAGGGTAATAGGACCCTCACAGCACTGGACCAGTAGTTCCCCAGTTGTAGCACAAATTGTAATACATTAATAGAACTTACAGTAAGAAAAACAGGTGGAAGGGGGCATTTTTAGTCTCACAGTGAAGTTGAAGTCACATTTAGCTTTTGGGAGAGGAATGAGTGCTGGTAAGGAAGGAGAGTAGCGTACAGCCTCTTCTGTAGGGCTTGGAGGTGCAGGTCATCTACCAGTCATTGCCCCTCAGCATCATACTAGAGGGCTGGTGAGTGCAGTCGTGGCTCTCCTTGCTCTGTATCCCATGAAGCAGAGCACGCTGACAGTGCGCAGGACAGAAGTACACTATGCTGGGAGGCTGGAAAGGAAAACCAAGTGCTGAAGTTCCCCTATGTTTAGGCTCCCTTGTAATGCTGGGAAAATGGAGGGGATCACAGGAGAGAGGAGCATGCTTTCAGTTATACATACTCTTCTGCTGTGCTGAAGGGTGATAGATGTCCCATGTATGAAGGAAAACGTCCCATTAACACATGGCCCTTATAGCAATGTCCTTCCATTGTGAAATGTTAGTGGGAGGGAGGGGCATTAAGAATGGGTGTTAGAGAACATGTATGCCCTGGGTTTTTTTTTATTTTTTACAATGCATGCATTGACCTGAGTGACTCAGATTCTGTCGCTGAGCCTGATTCTCTTCTTGCTAACATGGTGGTATGTCTCCATGCTCAGTGGCAACCTGGGTGGAAAATCAGTGCTGACTAAGAATAAGATCAGGCCCATTCTCTCCTGGCAGATTTATGAATTTATGCCTATGGGCAACAAAGCCATCGGGTGTGCACCTCAAATGTTTGGCCATATCCAGGCCTGACACTTTGGCTTGCCTTAGGCTGACCTTGTTAAAGCTCCCTTCATGTGCAATCCCTCATGGCAATGGATATTTCCCAGCCATTTCTAATTCAGCCACAAGGCCTGAATTGCTCAGACTGAGTGTTCATATTGAGGCCCAGAAATGTATTAAGCTAATTATTCTTTGAAATCCCCCTGACCCCCTCCTGCTTTTCCCTTCCTTTGGCGCCAGCTGTCGGATCATTCCCCAGAGCAGAGTAGCTTTAAGTAGGCAATTACTTGTGATTCATAGGGTTTATTAGGAGTGAGAGAAGGCCAATCATGCCTGGCCTTTCTTGCCTCTCAAATGGAAAGAGAAGGTTCCTCCAGCAAGCCACACATACATCTCCATTACCTGTGACTGCTGTGGTGCTAATGGATGCCCTTTCCTCCTCTCGAGAGGAAGAAAACGGGCCAACAGCTGTGTGAAATCCTTAACTCCTCTGGAGTGTCAGTTAGCTTGACCTGATAGCAATGTGAATGTCTCAGACATCAGTAAACAGTAAATGGCTGGGCTCCATCAAAGAGAGACAGACAGAGACTCCTACCAAGCAAGGCTGGGGAGGGCACTTCTCTATGGGGGTGCTGCTTCTGGCTTTGCCAGTCTTCTCAAGCATCCTTTGGACCAGTCCCCGGCCCTTGTTATCCCAGCCACAAAACACTGTAGGACGCCTCTTGGTTTGGACAGGGCTGTATGGCAGTGGACCACATGCAGAACCTGTCTTTGCACACCTGGTATGAACTGGAGAACAGACTAGGCTGGGAGTCCTCTCACTTTACATCTTGTTCTGCTCCTTAATGTCTTAGCCCTTTGGGAGGACTGAGATAATGGACTGCAAAAAGCTGGTGATGTTTTATCAAGGTACTGACAGCTTCCACCATTCATTTAGACTTTTATAAGGATCTCTCCTCTTAGTAGTTATTAAAGTCTGCCTTTTTGGGAACTGTCCTTGCATGAGATAAACTGGCCTTTTACTTCAGATCAGCAATGACATCTTGTCTTGGCCTCTGATAAGATCAGAGCATATGAATTTCATGTTTTCAGAATGGCTGTCACCTCCTTGGAAACCTCAGATAATTATAAGGCTCTTGCTTCTGCCTTATTTTGCATCTTACTGTTATTCTGTCCCTCAGATAGCTGCGTCTGTCCCTCCCATTTGTTCCTCTTTC